AGCTCATTTCCACAGCAGCCTACGGCAGCTAGAGCATGACTCCTCCAATGGAGTCCCCCCAAATAAATCCCAGCTCATTGCACAGCAGCCTACGGCAGCTAGAGCACGACTCCTCCAATGGAGTCCCCCAATTAATATATATGGTCACCCCTAAACCTGGTCTCCCGCTCTCCCTCAGCTAATCAATATTATTGAAACTTGTTCATATAAATTCATAAGCTCGCTGAGTTATGGCTGCGCAAAGTCAAATATTTTGTCGAATTTTTGCGATTTAAGAAAAAAATTTAACCTTATAGCGAACCCTAAAATTTTTTTAATTAATATTTTGTGAATATTTTAATATTTTACGTACAACAAAATGGTAGTATTCCCCGTGGTGTTGATATTTTTAGCACCTCCCTAATACATACACATGTATGTATGAGTAAAAAATACAACAGCAAAAAGCAAAAAGACCATAACTCACCTTATGCCACCCACATTGAGTATAATCCGATTTTCGCCATCCATGTTGCAAAACGTAATCTGGCAGCAGCAGCATGCGCGCCTTGAGCATACACGCCACAACTAACTAAGCGCCTAAATACGCAGCGCAACAGCAGGCACCACCGCTTAACACGCACGCACAATCGACTATGTAGCGGCTATGCTGTGGCACACACAACCAACATTAACGAAATTGTGCTTTTTTCATGTTACGTATACGCCACAGCGGCCACAATGTGAAGAATTCAAAAAGCACAAAAGTAGGCGGGGGAAAAATAAAAAAACATGAAATCTTTTCTTCTGCTTTGTGACACAAATATTTCCTGCACACTATTTTCACTTTTGTTGTTTCACATCACTTCACTTCACAACACTTGCTGACCACTTTAATGCTTTTCCGCTTTTAAAACTTTCGATTTTTTTTTTTGTACTTGCATATGTTTGCGCAATTTCTTTGGCGAAAAGTGCACGGCTTTGTTTCTGAATGCTTTCAGCCTTTGCACACTTTTTCGCATTGACTATTATTTGCGCTATAATTTCTCTTGCTTTCCGCTATGCTTTATGCGAACATTATTTTTTGCTTCCGTTTTTTGCAACTTCTTGCTGCACTTTCGAAATTATTTCATTCTTTGTTTGAAATTCACAACACGTTCTTGCACGCTCACTTGCACTTTTCATGCGTTATGCCATTGTGCTGCTTTTGAATGTAGTATGTATGTATGTAGGTGTGTGTGTGTGTGTGGTTATACACTGTCGCAAAAAAGTATTGACACAGCGAATTTTTTACAATATTTACAAAAAATTTTGTTTCAATATTTTTACGCAAATTCTTTATAAAAATATGGTTCATTCTACAACAAAAAACTCGTAAAATTCAATAAATAATTTGCATGAAAATTTTCAACTTTTTATCAGATTTTTTAGAATTTTTTTGTGTATGCAGATTTGTAGCCCAATAATTTTTATTATAATAGTGTACAAGTTGATTTTTGGCAATTTTTTTACGCAGTCTCTTTCGAAAATACTTTGTATTGGAAAAATGCAAAACAACTTCAACAAAAAAAATTCTCAAAAATCAACGCGATTTTTGACTAACTCTGAATTTGAATTTTTTTGCTAGATTTTAAGGGGCTGCAAAACTGCTTACTCAAGAAAATTCCAAAAAATCTGACTGAAAATTTGCATTAAAATTTATTGATTTTTCGCGAGTTTTGCACAAAGTTTAAAAAATGTGTAATGTTTTTCTGTTTTTTTTTATTGTTGTAGAATGAACAATTTTTTTATAGAAAATTAGCGGAAAAATATGAGAATAGAAATTGCTGCATATATTGTGAAAAATTCGCTCTGCCCATTCTTTTCTCCGGCAGTGTATAATGACATATATGTATATGTATGTTTGTACGTGCAAATGCGTTTGCAGGAAAATAATTAAATTGCTCTACATACAATTCACACAGATGTGAGAAATGCCGACATTCGTTTGCTGGTATTTTTTCTTGACTTTTTTTTGTGTAATTTTTCTTAATACTTTTATTTTATTTTATTTTATTTTATTTTATTTTTTTTTTGTATTTCTTCTTTTATGTTTTACTTTTTTTTCTTGTCCTCTCTTTAATTTCCCTTGTAATGCAATTGTTTTGCGCGCGTTTTCACGTAATTGCTTTGAGTGCCTACCGCGCCGACAACAATACGCTCCTGGCACCTTTAGTGCCTCTACTTTGTTTTGTTTCCAGGCTGCTTATTGTAATATGCAACAGCTCGAGGTGACTGCTGTTCATATGTATGCAAGTACTATAAAGCTGGCCAGAAATGACGCTCTCAGCCGCGTCGTCGCGCAATTCATACTTAAGCAACTCGGCAGTCGGCATTCGAGGCGTTGCATTCAATTATGCGCGCAAATGTGTGACTTTGACGGCTTTCGTCTCGTTGCCCAAAGGCGTTGGCAGGCCACACTCACTGTACATTCACGCCACATAAATTATGGACACTGCACTTTTGTTGCTTGTGATCTTCAGGCTAGCGCGTCGTAGCCTAGAGTCAAATGAATCTGTGAGTTTTGCATTATGCGCACGCAAGAGTCGAGTGTCGAGAGGTGCTCGTGTACATAATTGCTAGCACTGTTGCTGTTCTTGTGCTCTTGTTGCCTGCAAGCAAAAAAATAAAAATAAATGAATAAATTAGAGCAAAAGTAGAAAAAAAGCTGTAGAGTAAGTGTGAAAGCGTAAAATAAATAGCCAAATTAAATTTGTAGTCATTAAGTTTTTCAAGTCAGCGACATGAAGTGCTGTGGTGTGTGCAAAAAGAGAGAGCGGACGGTAGTGGAATGAGGAACAAATGGAAAAACGAAGGAAAAGAATATGAATGGTTTGGAATCTAAAATAATTTAATAACAAACACTCAAAAGCTGTAATTTTTCTAGCACCAACAAGTGGAAAGGGAGTCTCGCAATTTGCTGGCGGTACTACATTATACTAAGTGTTCGAAAATGACCTTCTTGTCTGTGTATTCGAATATTAGGATGGTCCATAAAATATCAGCATCTACGTACAAAATAAAGACATCCACGAAAATCTCAAAATTTGAAGCAAACTTTTAGGGGGGCCGCCAGGGTTTGAAAAAATTGTTATACAAAAAAAAAATCACAAAAATTTTGCAAAATGTTTACTTTGACCAGCAAGATGACTCGCTACGCTAAATTTTCGTCGCCAATATTCTCTAAAGGAAAATCAGTTGAGAAAAATAGCGAATGTTGGATGCCAAAAACGGTATCATTATTTTTTACCAAAAAAAAAAATATTATTTAGTTCCTTCCCATTTTTCAATAGAATAAGAACCAATTTTTCTAAAACAGAGTTACAATGTCAAAATAAGTAAAGCCAAGTTAGGCGATAAAAAAGTAGTACACGCGAAGAATGTCACAAAAATATATCAAAATATTAAATTTTTTCAAAAGTACCACGGTTTGGGACAAGTTGGCAGGCCTGCTTACATAAAAAAAAAAAAATTTGTAAACACACGAAAGAATCGAAATACTCACGAAACTATGGGCCAAATATAGTAAAACTGCGTTTTTAATTTTGCACCCTCTGAAGACAGGATTTTTTTCATAGGAATTTGAAGTTTTAAAGAAATTATTAACTCAAAAAATTATTAAAAAAAAAACAGTGCAATTTAGAATAACAATATGGGTACCAAATGAGAGCGAAAATTCTGTAGAATTTAAAAACAATAAAGTTCTTTGCTTTACATGGGCGAATACATGGCGCTTTAATAAAATTTACCTTTTTAAGCTAATAAAGTTTGCAGGACGAAATAATTAAAAAAAATAATAAAAAATATTGCAAATTTTCAAGGATGTTTAAGCACAAAATTTGTTAAGGATATTTTCCATACCCATTCGTCCTTATGCAATAAAAAATGTATACTGCTATAATTCTACAAAATTTTTTCTTTTATATGATACCCTTATTGTTATCTTACATTGCACCGAATTTTTTTAATAATTGAAATAATCACATAATAAACTAAGTACGCAGTTTTACTATAATTTACCCATAGTTTCGCGAGCATATTCATTTTTTGTGTGTAAAATTTACTGTCGCATGATCTTATAGCTGGTGAAAGGGAAAATAGTGTAGAAAAAAGTTAAGTTTTAGTAGTAACCCTGTTTTTATTTTTTTTATTTTTTCTTTTTTGTAAGCGCCATTTTCACGAAAGCAATTTAAGGGAAAAATTATTTTTTTCCCGTCAATTTCCATATTAAATTCAAATAAAAAAGAAATTATGGCTATACATTTTCGTTGATGATGATATGGTACGTCGAATAAAATAAATGGCTGCCCTATGATGTTTCTATTTTTAAGAACCACCCTAATGTATAGGCATCCCTTTTTGCAGGTGAATTACGAGTGGTGAGCGTAGGAGTGCACACAAACATACATATATATACATATAGTACATATAAGCTGTACATTAATTACATGCTGTTCATTTACTGAAAAGCTTAAAGTCGAGTGGAAGAAAGCAACTCCTTGGAAATCCAATAAAAAATTATGTTGGTTTCCGCTTTTTTATATTAGGTTATTTATTTACCTCAAAGAACAAATTTAGCACTTTTTAACCGACTTAAATTTTTAAGCTTACTATCTATTACCATAACTGTTTTATTTATGCTTATTGTTTTATATTTTACAGCTCTAACGAAAAACATTTCTGACGCTACTGAGTACGTGGACTGTGTTACAATGATATTGAAGGTGTGACTTGGGCGATAGTCTGAGGGCAAGACGACATTGCATTAATTCGCGACAGGCAGGGACCGAACATACTTTAAATTGAGCATTTAGAATTTTTTATGAGCGTCAGAAGAGGGCTGCCACCTGTTGAAAAAATGCAAATCAATTATTTATGGATTTATGGATTTTGAAAAAATGGGTATCAATCGAAGTGGGTTTTAAAATAATTTATTTCTGAACTGTATTTAGCGGAGTTGCCATGTGCTTAAAAAATTAAATTCAACTTAATTCATCAGTTAATGTGAAAATACTTTTAAAAGGGTTGCCACCTATTTGAAAAGTCGAATTTCTTTTACTTATACAAAACCTACATAAATGAAATATAGAAATATTAGTGTGAAACGAAAGAGTTTTCAGAAAACTGTAGGCTGATAATATGTTTAATTAGGGTTGCCACCCACTTTTTCTTGAAGGTCTTCGCATCTGCAAACTAATTTCGAATTTACAAAATGAGAAGTCACATTAAAGAACAACGATTCTATAAGATTTTATTTTTGGAAGGTAGAACCCTTTTTAGCGGTACAGGGAGATTTGAAATTTGATGGAACAAAAAAAAAATTTCAATTCAATTTTGTGATTTTAACGCCATACAGGTTCACTAGTCTGCAGTTAATATGCCAATTAATTTTCCTTAGGGTGTCATACCTGCAACAACTTTTTTCATTCGTCATTTGAGAAACGTTTATCTGTGCAAAAGTGGCGAGTAAAATAATAGTAATATTGCATACTTCTAGGTGCATTATGTACTAACTAGGCAGCTAGCTAAATGCGGCGGAGAGTGCTCAACTCGCTTAGATATCATTTGCCAGTGCGTCTGACTCCGCAGCGAATGTGGAAATATATTGTATGCTCTCTTGTACGGGTTATGTATGATCACAGCGTTCCCAGGAATTTGAAATGATTTGTCTTCATGTCAGAAGGTCACAAGACATTTACAAATGAATATTTATTTTATTCTCTCTCAATGCTAAGCAACATTTACAAAGCAGTTTTAAGTTACTGACACAATTTCTTTAGGCATCAGTTTGTTGGCAAACATATACCTAAATTTTTCTCGCCTCGATGTCATGATTTACTAAAAAATTTACATGGACATGTGTCTCACTTAGCTGCCACATAACCACATCTATAGAAGTGCATGAGTACTTTTTTCACTTGCCCATCAAGTGAGTAAGAACTCGTATTTTACAATGTGCATTTTGTTGGCAAACTTTTAGTTTTTTATGTATTTATCTGTATGAATGTACGATAAGCTGCGCTGCAGTCACTTTAACTCTGTTGACCACAGTTACATCAACCAACATTCGTTTGTCTTATTTATCGACTTAACATTTGACAGAATTGCCAATATTGTTGACCGCACTGCCGAACGCTCTCATGCAAACTCTCTATCGGTATGCTTGCACTAGCCACGTCAAGTGTCATGTGGTTGAACAACAATAAAAACTACATAGTATGTATGTACATACATTGGTAAATGGCAATAAATGTAA